AGAAAAAGAAGAGGGTATGGAATGTGTGTAAGAATGAACAAATTTGCCAACAAAATCCAACAGAATCCAAATCATTCCCCTTATGTACAGACATTTGAAATTTGACAGAAGGGTCAGAGTGGATCTATTAGAAAAAAAGTATATTTACTTAGCAATGCTATGATAAGTGAATATCCATATAGAAAAAAAAAAAAAAACCTGAATTGAAGCCTCTTTTAAACAGAAAGCCATGAGAATTACTGCAAGTTCAATGCCAACCTGGGCTACACAGCGAGGCCAAGGCTATGTAGCCCAGGCTGGTCTCAAATTCACAGTGGTCCTCCTGCCTCAGGGGGACAGGTGTGCACCACCACACCTAGCTTTCAAGTGTCCTTAAGATTTGTCTATAAAACCCTTAACTAAATAAAATGTTTCAATTTTCATAAGGCCAAGTCTGAAGACTTTAAAAGTTTGCAGTACAGTTCTTTCTACCCCTGTTTCTTCTATGAAGTTTTGGGCTTGCTTTTCTATTGGGATGTTTGTCTTTTTCTGGTTTTAGGAATTCCTAATATGTTATAGATCCTCATTCCTTCCAACGGTGTTAATCCCTTTGTGGTCTGCCCTGCCCATGTGCCAAGCACACTCCCACGCCCCGGGGTGCTTCAGGAAGGGAATCGTGGGCACCGTCTGGGAATCCTCCCCTTAGCTGGGTGGCTATAGAGGCGCAGGTGAGACTCTCACAGCTTTTGTCCTCCTTGTCCAGGGTGGACATCTGTCCATTGCATAAGGTTCCTGCAGCCTCTTGTCCTCTGGAAAGCCTTTCTGACACTAGCCCGCTGCTCCTTGCAGACACTTAGTTATTCAGAGTGGTCCCAGGACCCAGGACCCAATCACATTGTGTGCTTTGTTTCCCACCTGTCTGTTGACATCTCTGTCTCCTTTACTACAGTGTGAGCACCCAAAGACAGGTACCAAATGTACCCACTTTCCACCCTCTAGCACCCAGCACAGGGCCGGGCACTCAGCATTCATTATTGTATAAGCTGACACTTGTTTTGTTTTGGCTGGCTCAGCCCACTCTGAGGGCAGGGACGGCAGGGCATGTGGTGCTTGGGATCGAACTGCCATCCCCTGCACCTAAGCTTACCTAAACAGGCGCTTTAGCCCACTGAGCTATCTCCCCAGCCTTAAGCTGACACTTGTGAGACCCTTATCTCATGCAGGCACTGTGCTAAGAGCTTCATTTATGCTATCTCAAAAATCCTAGGCTGGGGAGATAGCTCAGAGGTCTAGGTGCTTTCTGCCTGGCAGTGCAAGGACCTGGGTTCGATCCCAATACCACTGCTGTGCTGGCCCTGCACGACGCCAGCCACTGAAACCTAGCATTGTGGCACACTCCTGTAATCCCAGCACTGGGGAGGCTGAGACAAGAGGATTGCTACGAGTCTGAGCTGCGTAGTGAGACCTTGTAATAAATACATAAATAAATCATCTTTTAAAAATCCTAGAAAGTAGCATGTGAGTCTAGATGCCATGGATCGACAAAAGTAAAATGCAAATGACCTCTAGCTAGAAGCAAATTTATTGGCTCAATTAAGGGGAAATCCAGAAGGAAGCCTCCAGGCGTGACGGGATCCAGGCACTCTGGGAACAACCAACTTCTTCCCTTCTCCCTCTCAGCTCTGCTTCTCTCTGCCTCTCGTCACTTCGCAAGCAGGCTAACTCTGCCCAGAGGAAAGCTAGCTCTCAGCAACAGTTGCATCCCCTTAGCTTAGCAGCCACAGCAGGGAATGCCAGCGTTCCCACTGATTCAGCAGAAAAGTGGGCTGTCTGATTGGCTCTTCCTGGCCACCCCTGCTAACAGGGGCTGCAAGGAAAGTAAGCGGGAAACCTAACAGAGATGGGAGGCCTCTCTGAGCAGAATAAAATTCCCTTCACCATGCCCCACCTCCAGAAGGTGCCACCATCGCGCGTGGCATGAAAGGGGAAAGAGGAACACAGAGTAGGAAGTCAACCGGTCTAGGGGCCCAGCAGGTAACAAGTGGCCAAAGGAAGGTTTAAACTGGCTGGTTTCATCCAAAGCTCTCACCCCTCCCCAACAGCTCCCTGTGAGTTCTGGGATATACAGCGTCCCCATGGCAAACAAAAGCAGGCTTAACATCTGTTTCTGAGACTCTGATCTCTACTAGGTCAAGTGTTCTCAAGGGTGAAATATGGGCAATTACGGTACCAGGTGTTGAACTCAAGACGTTGTGCTTGCCAGGCAAGCACTTACTCTACTGACCTATCTCTCCCTGGCCCAATCACGCTATCTTGTGGTGAAATTAAATGAACAGCTCTTGAGAGAGTCCTTTTTTTTTTTTTTTTTTTTTTAGTACAGGGTCTACAGGGTCTCACCACACAGATTGGACTCATAGTGATCCTCCTGTCTTTCAGTTTCCCAAATGCTGGGATTACAGGCACACGCCACTATACCAGTCTCAGTTAGAGTCTCAGCGCACCTTGGGGGCAGGGTTGGCATGACCAGGGAACAGCTCATACTAATGTTTGTAGCACAGGGTCTATGGGGGTAATGGTATCTGGATTCTAATGTGGAGATTCCGGGTGCTTTCTCTCATGGACGAAAGACTTCAGGGCAGGAGAGCTGGTGGGTTTTGCAACACTAACAATCTCCACCACCACTGAAAGCATTCATCTTGAACATTCCTATTATTTGAGCTGGGCAATTAGCTTGCTTGCTTGCTTGCTTTCTTTCTTTCTTTCTTTCTTTCTTTCTTTCTTTCTTTCTTTCTTTATTTCTTTCTTTCTTAATGTATTTAGTACAGGGTCTCACTACACAGCTCGGACTCCTACTGATCCTCCTGTTTTCAGCCTCCCAAGTTCTGGGATTACAGGCGTGCACCACCATGCTGGGTCTACAGGCCAGCTCATTGTGCCCAGGGGCAGGACCAGCGTGGAATGTGGTACAGGGGATTGAACCTCGGTCCCTGTGCTTGCCTAAGCAGTCACTTAGTCTGCTAAGCTATCTCACTGGTCTTTCTCTTATTTTTTAATAAAGCGAGAAAAAGTGTGTTTAGAAAATGCTGTCATGGGTTGGAGAGATGGCTCAGTAGAGTAAATGCTTCCCTGGCAAGTGCAAGGGCCTGAGTTCAATCCTTGGTTCCGCAAAAAAAAAAAAAAAAAAAAAAGAAAAAAAGAAAAAGAAAATGCTGTCATCCTTATTATAGATCTGTCACTTAGCTCTAAGCAAGATTCAAAGCCCATTTTCCCTCCATCTGATAATGACCCAAAGCCCCTTCCACAAGAAGTTCCAGAGCCATGCGTGGCTCCCAAGCTCCTTATGGCTAGGTTTGCAATGGGCACCATTTACGATCATGTACAGATAGAGAGCTTTTAAGGTGCCAAGGGCCATAATTAGCCTAAAAGGTCACCTGAATTCTCCTAGCACTGTGGAATCCAAAAGTCCAGGCCCAGGCCTGCACAGGGAAGGTGTAGGATAGACAGGACATGCAGGGGATGGGGACAGAGCTCCTGTGTGAGGACTTGACCCATCTGCCAGCCAGCAGGCTGCTGTAGCACTTTCTCCACCTGTAAGGGCAGCTCCCTAGAACCCCGAAGCTTTACACTCATTCCCAAGTCAGGTGGGTGACGCCGCCCTGAGACACGCAGTGCTTCTCTTCAGGCCCACAGACCTGTCCTGCAGCCACAGGGCTGATCCACATGGCGCAGCAATCCTCAGAGACTGAGCAGGGAGACAAGGAAGAAATGAGGCTGACTTTTCCTGGCTCCACCGTAGCCCCTCTGGGCGCCCAGCCCATCTCTATGGTGACTGGTGCTGCAGGTCTGAAGTGCAGAGAGGCTGGGCTGTAAACGCAGAGAGGTCAGCCCTCCTTGACCCTGCCTTTCCCCCTCTTGGTTCCCAGTGAAGCACAGAGAAGCCAGTGATGGACAACAGCTTGTTGGGCATCTGGGGACACCAGGTGCCTCTGGCTGCTCTGGCTGGAGTTTTGTCTTCCCTGCAGGATCTTGGCCAAGTTGCTTAACAGCCATAACCCTGCCTGTGTGAAGTCACAGAGATGCCCACGCCGGCCTCACTCATCCGATGATTAGAATACTGCGGTACTGTATGTGCACCCATTTTACAGACAAAGAAACTGAGGCTTTGTGAAGTGAATGACCTCCCTAAGGTCATGCACCTAATAAAGGGTAGAGCTAGAATTCAAACCGAGGCCTATTAAACTCCAGAACTCTTGCTTCAAAGCTCTATAATCTCAGGACACAGAACAGAAATGATCACTCACTATAGGGAATAGGAAACTGGCTCAGAGAGGTCCAAGGACCTGCCAAATTTTATACATGTGGAAAGCAGGAGAGCCAGCCTGCTTTTACCACCACTCCAAAGTCTATTTTTGCTAGAAAAAAGCGGAGGGTGGCAGGGTGGGGATGGGAGCCCTGAGTGAGTAAACGATCTCAAAGTTTTCCTCCAGCTGAGATACTTTTAAAATCTGAGTTGGGGGCTGGCAAGATAGCTCAGTGGTTTAAAGAACCTGCTTAGGCAAGCTTAGGCAAGTGCTCAGGGACCACGGTTTGATCCCTGGCACCACATACTGCGCCAGCCCCATCCCCAGGGTGGGCTCAGCCAGCCACAAAAAAGTAAAAATAAAAATAAAAAATCAAATCTGAGTTGGGGCAGAGTTGAAGATGAATGGGTGAAAATACAGACACTTGCCTTTTACTGTTGTTGTTGTTGTTGTTGTTTGTTTGTTTGTCTTTCTGAGACAAGTTCTCATTATGCAGTTGAAGCTAGCCTCTAGCTCACCTCTAGCCTAGGTTGGTCTCAAACTCGCAAGAATCCTCCTGCCTCAGCCACCCCGCCCAGCCTCATTACCACTGTTGTTCATGCCTTCTGACTCAGGAACTCACAGGGCTGCCACCCCCTTCCCCTTTCAGCCTCGTCCCTTTCTTGAATGATTGAGTTTGCCGGGCATCAGTGTGTGGACAGTGTGCGCCGATCCTGGGAGCAGGCAGAGCACACGTGGGTACCAACACCCACGGGCACGTCTTACACACCAAAGCATGGGACGATCCTCTCCGGGACTTCAGGCTGCAGGGCACCCCGCCAGCCTGGGAACTTCGGCCTGGGCCTGGCGCAGGACACACCCCAGGGGAGGAGCTACCTTTCCAGGCCCGGCTCCCGCCCTCTGCCAGGCCAGATCGCGCTCCCGAAGCAACAGCCGCCTGGACAACATGGCCCACGACCGTCCCTCCTGCACCCTGGAGCCCGAGCACGTCCAGCGCCTGCTGCTCTCTTCCCGGGAGGCCAAGAAGTCCGCCTACTGCCCCTACAGCCATTTCCCGGTGGGAGCCGCCCTGCTCACTGGGAATGGACTGATCTTCTCGGGTAAGGCCCGTTGCCAGGTCCCCTCCTACAGAGAAGTCTGGGTTGGGGTCAGAGGAGGATGCGCGCCAGCGCCCAGGTGAGCCGAGGGCGAGCGCCGTCCCCTGCCCGCGCTCTCCTGGCTGCCCTGCCTCTCCTGCCTCCCTGTGGGATGACAGTGTGACCACGACCGGCTGGGAACTCTCGCCGGGCTGGGGAAGGAAGTTTGCATGGAGGTGGGAGGAGAGGCCAACATCAGAAGCATGGGTTTGCACGGCGGCGCTGGTGCCCCAGGGCTGTCACCCCGGCTTTCCCTGTGCCTAGCGCTGTTGAAGCTGCTCTGTGTTGTATCTGCAAGTCCTCACAGGTGATCTCTGACCTAGGTGTATGCCCCTGTATAGAGAAAGAAACAGGCCCAGAGAGGTGACATGATTTGTCCAAGGTCACAGGGGCTAGTGGTGGAGCCCAGGGCTGGCCTGGGGTCTTCCCCACACCCACAGAACTAGGGATAGTCGGATGTGCTAGCACACACTTGTAATCCCAGCACCCAGGAGGCTGAGGCAGGAGTATCTCTGTGAGTTTGAGACTAGCCTGGGCAACAAAGTGAGCTCAAGATAGTGAGACCCTGTCTCAAAAAGACAAAAACAAAACAGAGACTAAGACAGTTGGGAAAGAAAGGAGGAACCACCAGGGAGCTGCAGCCCCAGCACAGGGTCTTCGAGAAAGAAAGTCAGGAGACTCTTAGGTGTCCAGTAGTGGGTGGCAGCCTGGGTGAGAGGAAACTGAGGGTGCAGGGAGCCCCTAAGCTCCCCTTAAGGCTTGCTGGGCTGAGGACAAGCTCACCTGGGGCTGGGGGTGTGGTCCAAGGAGAAGCACTTTCCTAAAAAAAAATAAAGGAGTAAGCAAATCTCAAATCTCACCCAACAACTCTTCTAACTTCTTTCTGCTAAGCTGAGAGCATTCTCCCTCAGGACAGCAGGGGACTAGGGGACAACACCCATTTGCATCTCCTGCCTGTTGCAGTTCTGTCCTCGGGTTCATGAGTCAGCTGGTTCTCAGTTATCTTTGAGCAGGAAAAAGAACCTTGACTGGATGCTGGGTTATAAAGGAAGATAACACTTGTCCATTTACCCCTTACAATCCTGCAGGGCTGAGATGGGAACTGAGGCTCAGAGAGGGGCAGCGCCCAATAACGCAGAGCTCGTTCTAGACCTGGAGTTCCAAGACTCCAAATCCTGCTCTCCATGGGTGGTAAAGGATCACTAACCAATGGTGTTGCGTCGAAGGGAAGACCTGAATGCTGGGCATGGCAGCACATTGCTGTCATCCTAGCACTAGAGAGGCTGAGGCAGGAGGATTTTTCCATGTTTAAAGTTAGCCTGACTAAATTAGACTTTGATTAACCAACACAGCAACAACATGACAGCGTAGGAGGTTATAAAGCCTCGAACTTGGAATCAGCCACTGAGTCTTTCAAGAGCCTTCACAGCTGTTCCAGGTACTACATAAAGCCCACTCTTGCCCCGGCCTGTCCATGAACCTCTCCTGGGCCACTGAGCGGGTGGAGTCACCACTGCCCCTGGACCTGGTGTTGCAGTCAGAGGCTGTGTCCTGGGTCTTGGTACCACTGACCTCCTCCTGCTGGTCCCCAGCACCTGCCCAGCCCAAGCAGACACTTAGTTTTTGCTGATGGACTGATTGGAGGAATGAAGGAGTGGTCCTTGAAGATGAAGGAGTTTGGAGTGGCAGGAGGAGAAGCCACCAGGGGCAGGTGGGGATGGACAGAGTCCAGCGTGCCGGGCCGCAGCATTTCCAGCAGGGCTGTCTTCCCCCCTGTTTTCCAGCATTCAGACTGGTGTTGTACTGGACAAACAGGTGGCCAACAACACCACCCCTCAAAAGCGAGGGCTTCCCCGTACCACACGATACTCTGGCCTTTCTTGTCTGCTTTAATCCACACAAGAAAAGGCGCACCTTCCCTTGAAAGTGACACCTGGAAGCTCCTTCCAGAAAAATCCATGCCTTGGGCATCCTTACATTGACCTGTCCCTGCAATAAGCACTTGCCAGTTCATGTGCCAGGTACTAGAGATGTCACAATGAGCGAAGATGACACAGTTCCCGTCCCCATAGAGCTCCTCCACAGGTAGGAGCTCAGCCGACTGTGAATGAAAGAACAGAGTGGCCTGTTTAAATTGCACAGAAGGGCCTGGTGTCACCATGGAATGGGCCACTCAGGGACATCGCGGGAGGACCAGGGGTGGAGTGAAGGCTCTGGAGTGAGCAGGTCCTGGGTTTGAATTCTGGTGCCGTGATGTGACCCTGGGCAAGAACTGTCACCCCTTTGAGCCTCAGCTTCTGTGTTGGTAAAGCGACCCTTGCAGGGTGACTGTGAGCGGAGCTGGCGTCCTGGAACAGTGTGGCGGCCCCCATGTCCAAGTACGCTGACTATCACCCCCCGTTGTGAAGCTTTCAGTGAGCGAGTGCCTATCAAGTGCTTGGCACAGTTTCTAACTAGAAACTGTTACTGGGGTTTTGGGGTACAGACCCCAACTGGGCTTGGTAACTGCACCCATAAAGCTAATCAAGGACACGAGCAGAGGTGAGGGACAGGAAAGGAGTGTTACTCAGCATGGCCGTGCCACATTGGACACATAAAGAAGTTTATGATCTGTCTTCTAGGGGCTGACCCCAACCTTGGGTTTTCTACAAGAGGGGACAAGGTAAGGGTTGGAGTTTTGCACAGCTGGGGTGGGAGGGTGTATAACTGGCACCATTCATGATCTTGTCAGCGTGGTCTGGACCTGTTCTAGATTCTGGGAGAGCCATTGTTCAATGAGAGGGCGGTTGAGTTCCCTCCATGAAATGACAGCGCCTCCTCTGGGGACAGCCTCGGTCCACAGCCATGGAGCATTCACTCCTGTTTGGGAAGGCTGTTTCATCATGGGAGGGTCTGAGGCTCTGTTTTCCTGCAATCTGAGGTCACACAGTCTTAAGACGATGACTTCTAGGCATTCCTCCAAGGCGTCTAGACCTGGATGTTGTAAGAGCTGGCAACTGGATGTCCAAGCGAATGCTGAAATTAGTTACTGAACTCTTCTCTTCAGTCTTGAAGAAGGATGACTGGGCGAGGCAAACTCAGGGCTGACAAGGATTGTATTACTCATTTTATGTATTTGGTACAGGGTCTCACTGTGCAGCTCAGACTCATAGTGATCCTCCTATTTTCAGCCTCCCCATTGCTGGAAGTGCAGGCATGGGCCACCGTGCCCAGTCTTAGCAGCCAGCTCAGCGCAGCAGGGGCAGGGCCAGCACAGCATGTGATGCTGGGGATCGAACCCCAGTCCCTGTGATTGCCTAAGCAGGCGCTTAGACCACTGAGTTATCTCATCGGCCTGTATTACTCATTTTAAACAGAGACTCCTTAAGTGCTAGCATGCCTATAGGTAGAACTGGGCAGGGATCTGACTCCACGTGTTAAGAGACTAAAAGGAAATAGATTTTAAACATGAAGACAGGGGGCTGGTGAGATGGCTCAGTGGTCTAAAGCACCTACTTGGAACAAGCTTAGCAAACCACAGGGACCACGGTTCAATCCCCCAGCACCACATGCCAG